TATTCAAATTTTTCATGCAGGAATAAACAAGAGTTATTTCCATAAACTGAACTATCATTATTTTAGATCTTTAGTTATTATTATATCTAAATAAATACTTAGTAATTTTGCGATATGTTCTCGATGATAGTAGCTGAAAAGTAATCAGATAATTGTTCTAGAATATAATCATGAATAACCTCCTGTTTAATTTTAGTTTTAATACATTTTGCGTGTAATACAAAATCTAATCATTTTTTTAAATAAACCTAATTTCTTTCGAAACCTTCTGCCCATTTGAGAACTATCAGCTGTGGCAATAATTTGTCAAATTCATTTGTATAATTTTAAATAATTTTGCTTTAAATAAACATAGTTTGCTTTTTTAATATTTTCCCAGTACAAATGTAGTTCAGTTTAATTAAGTTTGTGGCGATTCAGTTGCGATCCCCAGTGGCTCAGCTCGCTAAGTGTAAGGGCTAATAAGGCTAAAGTTGTGCCAACTTGTGCATTATTGTGCTTAACAAAAAAGAAAGACAAAATCTAGTCTCTGAATGCATAGGCGTCGCTAGGCGCTTGCACATCTCGCACCTAGCGACGTTTTTGTCTGATAGAGCCTATTTTTGAAATATATTGAACTATTCGTTCGAAAAGCGTCACAGCTAGTATATGAAAGAAAAGGCTACAGATGCATTTGTTGAAAAACTTTTTATTTTAACCATATTCGCGTTCTTATGCGTTTCAACAGTAAAACAAAACAAAAACAAACATTTATTGATAAAAAAGTATAAAATAACCATCAAATATTTCGTCAAAATTGTAATATCGCTACAAGAAAAACTGCATTAAAACTTATGATTAAATCACGTCAAACTCATAATTATTTTCCATGTTGCTAACTTTTTTCTAGTCCTAAGACGCGTGATAAATTGAATGGCATTGGGTAAAATGGAGTGGTAGCTCAATTATGCGATTTAAAATAATTTTATGTTGAGATAACCAAATTTATTGACTTTTAACTATCAAGAAATCTAAATAAGTATAACTTATATTAAAATCGATGTTTCACATCCACTTACTTCTGTGACTCAAGTAATTCAATCTAAATTGATGAATATATTAATCGGCGCTATGCTATTAGTTGTTGCAAATTCTTGTATTTCCCTATTTTTATTCAACTTTATCCAGAAATGTGAAATTACTGTCATATTTTATAATGTATTTTTTCGCCATTTTTGATCAATCTTAAACTATTCAGTTGGTATATTTCCTCAATTATTTCTCACTTGGGTGCATATAACCCAAGACGATAAAATACTTAATTAGTGTAAAAAAGTCCTGCGAATTGTAACTTTAGAAATGTTGTTTTGGTTTTAATAACGGATTTTCCATAATTCAGCTACGCAGATTTCGAAAATAATATTATTTTTTTCCTATCACGTAAGAATTTTTTACAAATCGGGAAGAAAATAAAACTCTTACTTACAAC